ATTCTTCCATTTTCTTTCTAATTTATTTAATCATTCTATTTCTATTTTATGTTCTAATTTCCTTTGTAATAGTATCATTATATACTTAACTAGTTTAATTTTAATAATTTTTTAACAAATTTTGTTTTTTTGTCTTGAATTTTTGAATTTCTATAGTGTAAATTAATTTTTTCTTTTATTTTTTTAATTCTTTTAATGTTTTCATAACACTATTGCAATCTTATAATTTTAATTTCTATATTTCTGTTCTAGTTATTATTGTATAAATATAATTTAGATTGTTCATTTAATAATTAAATTAAAATTTTCAAATTCTTTATTCATCCATCCATAAGAATGTAGTGAAACCCATAAATATTTAAAGGTAGGGTAGCAACTTCCCCTTATAGAAATTCTGTCCAGTTATGGTGATGTGGAGGTTACCCGCAATTTCGCTCTGGCTGAAGTGGAAGTTCTCAGCAGTTTGGGTCTCACAGTATAGGTTTGATTTACTGGTTTATGAACTTGCAGTCTTTTTTGTTCACTCTTCTTTGAAATATGTTAGTTGAGCCATTGAATCATTTTTTATTCTTAAACAACCGTCTCTTATACAAACAATAATGCTTAAATTTTAGAACTCACCTTACCAGCTCATCATACTTCAACGAGAGTATCTTACAAATATCAGGTGCTTAACTTTAAGATACAAGTAAGAACTCAGCATTGGAAATGTTCTAAGAAATTTGACTCACATATTACTTGTGTGTTTCCTTTAATCCCAAGCTAGCTTAATGCCATGTATGATATATAGCAATATATAAGTTTAGCAAACAAATTCGTAGCCATAAAACCCCAAAATTCCGTGATGCCATAGAATTATTTCTGATTAAACATCCATAGCCTGATGGATCAGGGTTGCCAATTGAACTCCCATCCAATCTAGGAATTTTTTTCTAAGATTGGGTTGCTTGGTGCAAGAAATTGCGTCTGCTGATTAATTTATATTTGACTTAGTTTATAAAATATCATTGTTTAATTTGGCAGTGCTAAATATGTGTAATTTTAGTCTCCATTTTAATGCTATAAAATATAATTTTCATTTGTTCATCACATAATAAAATCATTAAATTAGTGATTCTAGTGTTTTTGGTGGTTGGAGGGTGGGTGTACAATTCTCACTTTTCCAAAAGTGCAATTAAGTTTTAATGCTTAAATTAGCGAAGTTATAAAAATGTTGTGTAAAATTTATTATAAAGTATTAAATTATAAGAACTTTTTAAAAGCATATTAATTATAAAAAATTGAACTAATAATTCAATAAAACTAAATAAATAAGGTTATATCCGATTACGGTTGTTCCGGTGTTAATAGATTGAGGTAATTTGTCCTGGGTGTTCATTAATCGATTTAATGAGATAAAAACTGAGAAAACCAATTCAATAAATCAAAAAGTAAAAGAAAACGAAGACTGAACTTTTTTATTAGATTAGATTATATTTTATATTTAATTTTGAAAACTAATTCAATCCCATCCAAATATGTGTATATAAATAATTTTAATATTAGTTTATAAATAGTTCATATGTTTATGCTACGTTAATTGGATAAAAAAAATGTATTTTATTTTATATTAAGGGATTTGATAATATTTATCATTTTTTTTAGAAAGAGTACACCTATCGAAGTTATAATTTGATGATATATTTTGTGTTTTTGCTTTTAAATTTATATTTCTTCGGCTTACATGTTCTTTAATTTTTATACTATTGACGTGGTCATGTCTATTATTAAATCCCAAAATTTTGTCTTGATCTGTTATGGACATGGATCAATGTCCATGAGACATGTCCGAGTCTCTCTATTTGTGGGAAAACAGAGCGTGCTAGCATGGTGTTCTTTGTTCACCATCCATGACACTCAATCATTTGAATAAATCATTAATTTAGTTTTTAAGTACTATTTTAAATATTTTTCAAATAAAAAACTATATTAGTAATTCTTAACTTATGAGATATTATGTTAAGTAGTTTCTTAAATATTGATAATTTTCTTAGATTAGTCTCTAGATTGATAGTAAAATCAATGTTTATAAACTACCTTAGACCAATTAGTTGGACTTTAACTTGGACAACTTATCTACTATTTTATTACTTTTTTATACGTTTCAAGATTTTGGCGTGATGTCTTACATTATGTTTTCCAATTTTTGATGTTTCAAAATTTTTGGCACATTATAAAAGTTTATGGGTGCAATGGGACTAGAATTCAGGGTATTAGTTTATTTAAGCAATAATCGACTAATAATTAGAGATGACAATGAGTAAAATTCTATATTATTTGTCTTCGTATGTAGGTTTATAAATAATACCTGTTTTTCATCTTACATAGATAGCAATTTTGATCTCATCCTCGTACTTAGATTTGCAAATAACCATATTTGCAACCACAACTTGCACTTTATAAATGAGGTTAATAAAATAATTCAATAAAAATTAAATAAAAAATTACCACAATTATATTAAAAATCCATTCTTAAATAATTTTAGTTTATAGAACATACTACGACAAAAATACTCAAAAGTTTTCCCATGTAAAACCACACCAATATGAACAATAAAAAAAAAAAAAAAAACTATAAGCGTTTATAGAACACATCCTTCATCAAATTAATTACATTGAGACATCCAGTCATGTTATCAAGCTAACTACTTTTAGAGGTTTGTTGTCTATCACTGTACCAAATAATTGGTACCTACAGCAATTGGATGCCAACACAACCTTCTTTCATGAAGACTTACATGAGGAAGTGTATATGGAAATTCCATCTGGCTTATCAATTTCTGAACCAGATTTGGTGCATAAGCTAGAAAAACCATAAATGCGATCTGAAACAAGTAAATAGGCAATGGAATGCCAAGCTAATCAAAGTGCCTATAACCTGTGGTTTCTCTCAATTCAAGGTTAATTATTCCTTATTCACAAAATCCTCGTGTACTACTAAATTTACTACCATTTTGGTCTATATGGATGTATTAGCGGGGAGTGACCATGTTGGATCAATTCCAACAAACAATATCTGGATCTACAATTTAGCATTATGGATTTGGGTCACCTGATGTTCTTCCTAGGATTTGATGTAGCAAGATCAAGGGAAGCAATAACATTGTATCAAAGAAAATATGCCTTGGATTTGCTAAAGGAGTCTCTTAGCAGCAAAACCGTGTAGCACTCCAATGGATAATAATATGAGACTTCAAAAGGAATTAGGAAAACTCTTACAAGATGCCTCTACTTATAGAAAACTTATTGACAAACTCTTGTATGTATCTCACTTATACTCACATTGACATATATATGTTTTACAGTGAGCCAACCGAGCCAATTTGTGGATTAAGAGAGCTTAAATACGTAAAATAAAAAAAAATATAAAAAAAAGTCACATGTAAAAGGTTTGTTTTCTGTCAAAACTAATACCAAACTGAAAGAGTTCAGTAATTCAGATTGAGGAGCATGCTTGCATACTAGAAGATCAATAACTTGCTATTATTTCTTCCTTAGGATATCACTTTTTTCATGGAGAAGCAAGAAATAACCGACAATGTCTAAATCTTCATCGAAAGCTGAATATAGAGCTCTAGCTTAGGCGACATATGAAGCTTAGTAGCATATCTATTTGCTAAATGATCTTGGAATAGTCAAGTTACTCTGGTTGTCATGTACTATAATAACCGACCAACTTTACACATAACTACAAATATTGTATTTGATGAGATAACTAAATACATTGAATTGGACCATAACATTATTAGAGAAAAAAAACCCAAAATGACAACATTCACTTGCTCTCGATTATGTATTGTACTCAAGACACAATTAATTGTTACTTCTAAGTTTGTTATTTCAGTTAATTGTAGCAACTTATAACTAAGATCCATATTGTTAATAATGAACTGTTTTTCCTTTCCGTTCAAACGTTTGTTATCAGCCAAGTGATAGGTTTCTTCTTGTTTCTTTTTCTTTCTCATTCCAAGGCTGAGTGTATATAAATTAATTTTGTAATCGGTTTAAATTACTGAAGCTGTGAAGCACCTGGTGGCTATAAAAGAGTTTTTGGTCATTAAATCAAATATAAAATAACCATAAAAAAATTAACACTATTGGCTAAATTTTATTTCCACATAACCTACTTATCTGGAAAAAAGTATCCGTATTCATTTAGGGTTAAAAATGAAAAAAGATAATGACAAAGGGTAAATATTATATTGAAACTTAAAATCTAAAGAGTATTCAACAAAAGGAATACTGCTTCCAGTAAATTAAATTCAAATTTGGCTCAAAATTCCTATATATTAAGGATTCCTACCATGAAGTAGCTTTCAATTTTTGTTTTGAACGAGTGCAAGACATTTTCCCTAAAAAGAATGAATACTATTATCATGATGAAGTCATTTAAAGGGTATATGCATGCTATCATGTTTTCTAGCCACTTGTCATCCACGCATGCCACAGAACTGAAGGCCACTATAGTCCCTATGCATCATTTGCTTTAGTGGGGTTGGTGAAGTGACGCACTAAGCTAATACACTTTTTGTAGTTTAGTCCACACCATTGTTTTCTTGCTTTTACACATTAAAAAAGTACATTAGTTTAGATATAGATTGTTATTGTTGGTTGTTTGTTCCAATTCCAATCATAACATCAATGTTATCTTAAAACCAAGTGTTCCCATTAGGAGTTGATTGATCAATATAAAATGCAAAACCAATCTTAAAAGGTCCAAAGAGTACTCAATTACCACTTTAAAGTTTAAATCATATATAGCACATTTTATGCAAAATCAAAATTTAAAATTCAATACACTATAAACATAGAAAATTTTATACCATCAACTAATCAAAAATTATTGTTAATATTATTTTTAACATAATTATTATAAAAGTACTAAACCCTAGAATTATTCTACATTGTGGGTATATTTTCATTTCATCCTTATATAAATACCATTTTTTCACCAACACCATACAACTCAAGCATTATATAAGTACTCCCATTCTCACATTCACTTCAACCACACCACCCATTTTTCTCCCCGATTTCTCAACCCTACACAAAATGGGGTACCAAAACACAAAAGCCCTATCACACTTGGTGATGTTGCTAACATCAATGATAGTTGGCATTGCAATGGGAGACACATCGAAGGACAAAGAGGAATGCACTCAGCAATTGGCGGGGCTATCACCATGCTTGCCTTATGTTGCTGGTCAAGCAAAAGCACCAGCCCCAGATTGTTGTAGTGGTCTCAAGCAAGTTCTCAAGAACAACAAAAAGTGTTTGTGTCTCATTATCAAAGATCGCAATGATCCTGACCTTGGTGCTTTGCAGATTAATGCTACTCTTGCTTTGAACCTCCCAACAGCTTGCAATTCCCCTGTCAATGTCTCCAAGTGCCCCGGTAACATTTTCACTGTTTAATCTTTTTTAATTTCAGTTAGTATGATTTAACTTATTTTAAAAAATAATAATTTCCTTTTGAAAAATTAAGAAAAGTAAAAGGTTGATCAGAATTCTGAAATTCTAATCATGTATACTACTGTATTAAATACTGGGAGAGAGAATTTTCATTGATAATAGTGTTATCCAACTCAGATATATTTGTCTCTAAGATACTTCTGGTGTATACAAACTAAAAGTAAAAGATAATGCTTTAGGATTTAACTCCTTTTAAAATTGAGAGAAGTGCACTTTTGAGAATAAATTAAATACATTAATAAATATTAATTAAAAAAATATAATGATTTAGATTATAATTAGTATTAAATTTTGTTAAAATTTAACTTTATGTACCAAAAACGTAAAATACAGTTAATCAATTATAAATCATATTAAGAATGACATATTTAATAATTACTGATAAAAATCTTACTATTCATGATAACTTCTTATTCGTTGATAGTAAAAGAATTCTTTTACATTTTTCGTAGATATATTATGTATTTGTTGGCATCCAATTATGTTAATAAATTCATAGTTTCCAAAGCAATTTCTGACTAATTTTGGGCCATTACATAAAGTAAGAAAATTTATTTTGTTGTCAAAATTTAATGGAAGCAGAGCTGCTGCACATGGATCCCAAATCACCAGATGCTCAAGTTTTTTATCAATTGGAGAAAGGCTCCAGCAAAAGTGGCACAAGTCCTGCCCCAAGTCCTTCTGGTAATGAAATTGACATGAAACTTTGTTTAGTACTAAACTAGCTTATTCTGATTTCTCATTAAGAAAGCTATAAGCATGCAAGTGTCACTATTATGATTATTATTATTATTATTATTATTATTATTTTCTTCTTTTTAATAAAGTGCAAGTGTCATTATTGTGTAGCTGGAACAAGTTCTTCAATCAGCCAGACAGCCAGTACCCCACAGAAGAATGATGCATTCTACAAGGAGAAGAGATTGTTTGGGCAACATTTTTGGGCTTCTGGGCTTCTAGTTTGGGCTTTTATTGGGCTCTTCTGCTAGAATTTTCTTCACTTGGACACCAATGTGAATTAGAGTGATATTCTGCAATCCCCTCCCTCTCTGTGGCACTGATGTTATGACTCACTATAAAAGTATTAGTATGGTATCAATTTTTTCTCTACAAATTATTGTAAAATATATGTGAGGAAAGTATGGAAAATATCCAAGTCATGTTAAAGAGAATAAAGTTTTTTTTTATTTTTATTTTAATATATCTTTTTTTCTTCTTCTTCTTGTGTTCATCTCCTTCCTTTCATGATTTAAGCACAAAAATTGTTTCAAGAGTCATTTTAGTTTTTAATCGTTTAACAAAATATTTTTGTGAAATGTATCTAACTTCTACCACTTGAAATATTTTTTAGAAGTAGTTAATTAATGCACCAGTGATTCTAGCAACATTTTTTTCTTCTTCTCTTATGTAATAATGCTTAACCACAAATTGTCTTGCAAAATCTTTAAAATTAAGAACGTGAACATTAAAAGGAGAAGAAAATATATGTTTAAGTATCTTTTGTACATCCTTATCAACAACTGTGTATTTGTGATATTATATGTTATTACTTGAAGCGCGTTAAGAGGACCCACCTCTTTAGTAGGTTTTAGCCAATATTTTTTTTTAATGTATATAACTCCCTTTTCCCTAATTTTTTTAATCCAAAAAATAAATAAATTAGTGTACAAGTATAAGAACATTGCTCCTTGTTTGTTTATTGCAGGATTATAAGGGACTGATTTTACAGTTAGTTCTTCAATATGAAAAACATTAGAATGAAATTCCTTGAAAATACCATCCATCTTTAATTGGGATAAGATCTTGCTCTTATTTTTGTTTACATTCATCAAGTAAATTTATCCTTGCATTATCATATGTAGCCTTTAAAACCCATATTCACAAACATCTCACGAAAGTGAGTATTTTTTTATTTATTTTAATTACATTATAATCCTCTTGTCACACAAACCCCTAATCACTTTCAAATATAGTAATCTACTATATCGATCGCTTCCCCATCAAAATAAAAGTTTTCAAACTTTTGTGTTCACATACTTGTTAGCTTAGCATTTTTTTTAAGATAAAATAATGAGTGTTTTATTTAAGTTTTTTTTTTCTTAAATGGAAATTTTTTTTAATAAAATAATCAGTTTCCATTTTGTTTGTTTGTCTAAACTATCTTCTTTAGAAAAGCAGTTTTCAATTTTTTTAAAAACAAAATAACTACAATCTATTTTTTTTTTTAAATTACTCTTTCTAGAATCATATATATATATATATATATATAATTTTCAAAAAAAAGGGGCCCACTTGCATAAGTCTATTCCACTTCTAGAATCTTCCTTGTTTCCCTTTGTTCATTTAGGTCACTTCATTATCCATCTCTTAATTTGTTTTAATTATTGTAAGAGGAAAGCAAGATGGTGGCGAATAGGGCCATTATTATTATTTTTTCTAGCCTCCTAGGGTATGTTTTTCCTGTACTTAATTCGATATGGACCAGCTTCTATTCATATAATAAGTTTTAACTTTTAATCAAGATGCACAACTCGTACGTGTTACATTTCGCATCATTTTTGTTTGATACTAATGTTTTTTTATAGTAGTCCTTTGGTTGCTTTCCACTTGTTCACTTCCATCATCATCTAAATTATGGATTTTATATTTTTAATATATTGATAAGAAATAAGTTGTTTTTTCTCTTGTCTCTTTCTTTAGAATTTCATAACCGATGAAGCCTTAAAACTACACTCTCTGTGAAACAAGGATAATGTTAGTTTTTAAAAAAATTAATACGTGTAGTTTATTATTTAATATATTGCCTAAAAATTTTGCATAAGTAATAATAAATGTACTTTCAATTTTTAGACAATGTATTAAATAATAAACTGCTATTGCAATATATATATATATATA